CGGCACACAGATAACCAACTGTACACAAAATATACTTGAAAGCCAGATTGTAGGTTTTCCTTTGACGGCACTCATATTATAAAAATAGTATAAATTATACACTTACCAGATAAAACACATTTTTAAAAGAAAAGGAAATAGATAATGTAAAAAAAAAAATTTAGGTCATCCATTTATATGTGAAATTGGACGCGTTTTTTTTTTATAAACTTACGTTACACCTGATCGAACAATTTTTATTGGTCATCGCACGCGTGCGAGCGACCCCTCTTACATTGCCTATCTCGTAAAAAGAATTTATATAGTAGGCCATTAATCTTTATTAGCTCCATGTTAAGTGAATAGTTTTCTCATAACTGGCTGGCTCTTCAGTGAGTGAATAGTTCCTCATAAGGTGTCTGGCATAGTGGCAAAGGCATGCCAAAAACAAATTTGGCTTGCCACTAAGTACAGTATAAAGATTATATTTATGATATTCAAACCATATATGAATGACACCAAGGGAAAAGGGAACATTCGTCTTTATTGATTATTTATCTGATGATCGACAACATACCGGGCTTTCACACTGCTTTCACTAAAATGACAATTTCAAGGATTTCAGAGGTTAGTTTATCATAATTGAAAGCCCGATGTGTTGTCGATCATCAGATAAATAATCAATAAAAACAAATGTTCCCTTTTCCCTTGCGTCACTATATATGGTATCATAAATAATATATAACATTTTATGGCATGCCATGGCACAAATTTTAACAAAAGGCATGCCCTGTGGCATGCTTGGCGTGCCAGACACCCTAAACTAGTCTCTTAATGAAGTTAATGTCGGTATTGGCTTTTGAAAGTATTTAATCGAAAACTGTGGATTCTACAATGATGAGCAATATTGGCAATATAATTTAATATTGTCGGAACGAAACGGAAAATTAATAATCTCTACGCACGGTGACACAATGTTACTCGTAAATATTGATCTGTCCTCTTTTCCCAAGCGTGAGTCATTAACTCATGATTGGTTACACTTATGCATAATGATAATATATTAAAAGATATTCATTATCGTGATCCGGGTTTTAACGGTTCCTATTTCTTTATAGATTATTGCTAGTTCAAACAATTTCTGATAAGATTTTCTTGTAAGAGTATATATACGGGTATATTATTGTTCCTCAGATTTACGCTTGCCTGATAATCATTTACTAGAATCAATCAATAGATGAATTATCTTATACGTACGTACACTGACCTAACCCGACCAAATCGGCATTTGACGCAAGCGTTAATCTGGGCAAAACATTGCATATATCACTGTTAGACCATCTTTTCTACATTTTAAAACGTAACGATTATGTGAAATTTTTAATTTCTTATTATATATTGTACTACATATATGATTAAAAATATTTTATAATAAAATATACGTATTTATAAACTTTTTTTATTCATAGGCTTTAAAGTTTGTGGATTATTTTATTATTCTTCGTAATAATCATAATTAAAGTTTGATAAAAATGGCTTTACAACTTTATACATAAATTTAAAGATAACAAAATAGTACGGTAGTACACATCAATAACGATATATATATATAGTTCATGTATAAAAAAAAGCCACAATTTTCATCGGACAATATTCGGTCTAGTCCTTAAACCCACGTGAAATTTAAGTTCAAAATAAAATAGAACGGGAATGTGTCAAAAAATAGAACGGTTTACCCCGTATTTTCATTGGTTATCATTATGGAACAAAAAATTGAGCGTTAAAATATAGTTTAATTTGTACTACTAAGATAATTTTAATACTTAAATTTTCTGTGTAATAATTCATATGTATAATATATATATCAATTTATATATACATATAATATTTCATTGTTGCAAAAATGGCACTATAATCAAATGAAGATCATAAATGGTTTATGTAACTATTCTTAATTTTATTATTACTTTTTTCTTTTTTTTTTTTGGTTTTTTTTTTTATATTTTTTTTTACCACTAATCATAGATTCGCTTGAACAAGCGTTACTAGCACCGTGATGTCGTCAATTTTACTATAAAGATTAATATATTTACAAAAATTTTGTTAGGTCAAAGATTTGTATATTAATGGTTGCATGATGTTGTTTTTGATGCATAGATGTTGCATTTCAACTCTATACAATGGCTTCTCAGAACAAAATTATGTTCGTTCGTGCGCCACAAGCACCTATCATAAAAAATAACAAAACAAACAAACCATCAAATAAATAAAAATGTATAAATATAATTTAGCTTACCCGCCAATGCGATTTTCCCCGCTTTTCTTTGCACTCTGAGAGAAAGGACTGATTCTCTTAGGATCCATGGAACAACGTCTTGCTGTATTTGTTAATGTTCTCGACAATTTTCTTACATGAGCTCTAAGTTCTTCAAAATCATTGTCCCATACTTTTCTATCACGGCCAATAACGTCACGAAGCTCCTTGTTTACAATAGAAACTGCTTCATCAGTGAATACATTATCAAAGAATCCATCTGTGGCTAACAGAATAACATCCCCGTCTTGAAGTTGATGGTTAGCCTGGTAGGCGTCGCTAGGTCTATCTTTGAAATAAAGCTTTTGATTCGGAAAATCCTCCGGAATAATAGTTAATTGATATGGGCAATTAAAGAAATGTTGTTGTGATGGTGATTCATATAAAAGTTGCCCGTTGCGAATGAGTAGGTACGCTGAATCGCCTAATGTCGCTGCATTTAAAATGCCGGATGTTTTCGATAATGAAAGAATACAGGCCGTCGAACTCCCTTTTAACGTGTAAAAAAAAAAAATCAAATTTTTGGTTTGAAATAAAGTAAGACATTAATTGTAAAAGAAATAATGTACTAACCGGCTTTAACTTTTCCACTCTTCATCAATTTGTCAAATGCACCATTTAATATTTCTTTGGCATCCAAAATATCAGTAGACCCATTGGGTGCATTAAAGAATGGAAGTTTATATGAACCAAATTCTTTTGCGATACTTGCAGCATTGTCCATTAATGCCCATGAAAATGTAGCTGGATCTATACCCATCTATTATTGTTAAAAAAAATTATATTTATATTTGTTCAACTTTAAGTGTTCAAACTATTAAAGGTTTTTTTTTTGAACTATATTTATTAATTTTATATAACTACATACTTGAGTCCAGCCACCGACGCCATCCGCAACTCCTAAAGCTACTCCTTCATTTGTCCCTACATAGAAAAAAGCATCTTCTCCAGCATCAACTTTTCCAACCTTCATACGTTCTTTCAACCAAGGGTTGCTATTAGCTATAGGAACTGAACTTCGTCTTTTTTTCGGGTGCCATGAAGCCGCTATCAAATAAGTGAAACCTTTGGTTGTGGTTAATGGTAGGCCAGTAACACGTAAAGGTGTACTGTAAAAACTTTTAAGTATAAGCTGTTGTTGAATAGCCGCTCGAAGAGATTGAGAGGCAGTAGTGAGGAGACGAGAGGATAAAGCTGGAAACACTCCAGGACGATAAAAAGGTGTTATCGAAGACGACATTATGATTTAAAAAAAGCCAGTTTTCTAACTTTTTTCTTTGCCGTACTTTGTATTGCCAAATAAGGATGGCGAGAATATTTTATTTTAAAAAAATATTAAATAATAAAGTTTATTTTTTAATTTTATGAATTATCCCCAAAACCTCAACAAACTTCCCCTACTATTTGTTGAGCGTCCTTTTTTAAAAGCGATGAAGATTGAAAAATTTGATGAAAAATTCAGCCTCTCAAGCTGAGTAATAGGGATTATATATATATCTGTATTAGAGATCGGTTTGTGCAGCCTAAAACTTCCGATTGCTGATTACTGGTAACGAGTAAATGCCTGCACGTACCTAGCACAATTAGGTAGGTATGTACAGTACAGCAGTACATACGTACGTACTAAGTCATTATCATTTGATCCATTTTGTCACGTTATTAAACATATTGATATTAGCCGCAGACTTAATTCTTCCTTAGACCTATACTTTTCAATATATGTATCAATAATATTTCTTTGCCACCACATTGAAACATTTGTATTAATACCCTAAACTGCAATGTCTGCCCCAGGTAATAGACACAACTCTCAAGCTCCTGGCAAATTGTTCCAGTTTAAGCTCGTTTTATTAGGTATGACTAAAATTCTTAAGTATATAACCTTGACACCAAACATTGCGATCTTACAGAATAGCTTTGATGCCTGTCATATCCTACTATGTGGCGCCTTGGACTATTTTACATTACCTCTTTTTTTATTTATCATCTATTTGTACTGACTCTCCCTTGATTTTGCTTTTTCTTTTGTCCGGCTTCTTCTCTTGTCTGGTAATTATTACAGGTGAATCAGCGGTTGGCAAATCAAGGTTAGTTTTTTCTCGTGATTTTTTTAAATATTAGAGCAAAAACCCTTTACTCTTATTGTATATTCAATCTCTTTGATACCGACTGCTTTAGACTCAAACAAAGCTGGAAATTTCAAGCCATTATAAACTTTAATATTATGGGCTTTTTTCTTAACATTATATTAGTACCCACCTAATTTTTCCAATTTATCATTATTATTATCTTCATAAATACTTTTATCTAACATTCTTATCTAAAATTGATAATATATTCTAGCTTAGTATTGCGCTTTGTCAAGGACCAATTTGATGACTACAGAGAAAGCACTATCGGAGGTAAAAGTCCTTTATTATTCTCTTTTCGTTGACGCCTGATTCACCACATAACAAAATAATTAATTAATTTATTACTTATTACATAGCCGCATTTCTAACACAGACAATTGCTCTGGATGAAAACACAACTGTTAAATTCGAAATCTGGTGCGTTGCGTGTATATTCATGGTTCTTTATTCAACGTCTTTTCCATATATTATAAATATTATATTTCATCATTAGGGATACAGCAGGACAAGAGCGTTATAAGGTTATTTCATAAATACATCATTCTTTTGGTTCAAATTAATGACGTGATCCTTGTTTCAGGACTTACTCTATTCATTTTTTTATGTGAAACAGAGCTTGGCGCCAATGTATTACAGAAATGCAAATTGTGCCGTAGTAGTTTATGACATATCTCAACCAGTATGTATTCATATTCTTTCATATGGTATATGAATTGTATATATTTATCAATTCTCTTCTTTCTTCTGCGAATTCAGTCGTCTTTGGAAAAAGCTAAATCTTGGGTGAATGAATTGAAAAGACAAGCTGACCCAAATATTGTCATTGCACTCGCCGGTAATAAATGTGATTTGAGCGCACGTAGAGTAATTGATACTGAGGTAACAGATCTATTTTTAATTTATAACATATAATTCGATCGATAAATTTAATATCATGTTTGTATATTAGACGGCACAAAATTATGCGACAGATGCTGATCTCTTGTTTTTCGAAACATCGGCAAAAACATCCACCAATGTTAACGAACTATTTACATCAATAGGTGTGTCTAAATTCTAATATTATTTTTCATTTTACTAATAATTCTTTACAATTTATTTGATTGCGTCTTTTTATGTTTTGATATATTATGCATAGCGAGAAAAATGCCACTTGATCAATTAGCCGCTAATTCACGTGCACGAGGAACCAATTTAAATCAAAGAGGCGTTGATTTGAATCGTCCTGTAGCCCAAAATGCTTGCTCTTGTTGAATTTTTGACTTATAATAAAGCAGTCTTTGATGTTTTACGAATAGATTTCTCTTTCGTATTCAGTTTTTAAAAGTTAATATTTAGTTACACTTGTCATTAGTAGAGAAAAAATTGCTTTTCTAAAAGAAAACATATATTTTACTTCTTTTGCGTTCGAATTATTGTCAATCTGTATGGATGTTGATTAGTAAGTTTTTAATTCAATAAATCAAATTAATAAATATATAATAATCGATTTAACGATAACGAGTGATTTTTACTTTACTAAATAAGAAAAAATGCATTAAAACTAATCCGCTAATTGTTTTAACCATTTATGAATTAAACTCTTGGGTCAGTGTCGGACCGAATCGGACTTTTAGCATTCTCTTTTATCCATCTAAACAATTTACTCGTGACCACTCGTGATTCTAGGTGTATATACACGGATAATATAGAAGCCAATCAGATTGCACAATTAGGTGTAACGTAAGATTATTGATTATGAAATTACCTTTTGGCTTCTAACAAAAAAATTCCTTACGAAATTTTGGTATAAAATATAGCTCGCCCCAATTCCAAATGTACCCTTACCCTAACTATAAGTAGGGTCTGATTTTTTATTTAATACGTATAAAGTTGGTTAAATTGGCATGTACACTAATACCGTATATTTTATGTTACAGTATTTCATAATATATAAGTACAGTAGTATTTATAAAAATTTATATACAGTATATTACAAATTAACTATTTAACTATCAAAAATACTAAAAATACCCTTTTTGTTTTAATTGACAATTCACGATAGAAAGAGAATATTAACAGATTTTTATAATAAAATATAATAACAAACCATTTTTGTGTAAAAATAAGAAAAGCAAAGCCTAATCTTAACTACTGTATATAAGACAAGCATATAATGAAAATCTTGTATTATTTTATATAAAAGAAAAAAAATTTAGAAATAGTAAAACATAAAGTAAACTATTTTATAAAAATAAGAAAAGCAAAATATAATTTTAATTATACAAAACAAGTATATAACAAAGATCTTGACTTATTTTATAAAAACAAAAAGCCAAGATTAGTAAAAAATAAAGTAAACTATTTATATAAAAATAAAAAAATAAAGCTTGATTTTAATTATACAAAACTAGTATATAATAAAAATTTTTATACTGTAAAAATAAGTCAAGATTAGCAAAAAATAAATCATTTTTATAAAAATAAAAAAAGCAAAGCCTAATCTTAATTATACAAAACAAGCATATAATAAAGATTTTGTATTATTTTATAAAAAAAAAATTTAAAATTAGTAAAAAATAAAACAAGCTATTTATATAAAAATAAAAAAAGTTTTTTACAACTCTATTAATATAGCCACCACTTTATTAAAAGAATTATTTTTTGCATTTAATAAAAAAGATAATATAAATAGGCAGGTATATAAGCCTATTTATCTGAAAGAATCAGATAATAATAGCACTCTAATATTTAACTAAAGTATTTTTAATTTTTGCAAAATTGTAAAAATCAGATATATAGTAAGCATTTCTGCAAAAGATTTATATAAGATTCATATTAAAATACTTTCACATCTTATCTGTTTTAATCGATTTCTTTTATTTCAAAACTTCCTTTTAATTAAAAGCCCCAAATACTTAACTTTTTCATTTTATATTTAGTTTATAAAATAAGCTCTATAAAAAATTGTTATATTTGTTAAAACAAGCTACAGTAAAGCTCAGTAGAAATAACATAATTATGTTATTTTCACTTAGTCTAGGTTATTCCCACTCAGATATGACGACAGAAATGCATCACCATCATCAGTGTTGTGACGACAGAAATGCGTCACCGTTGTCAGAGATATATTAGTATTTGCTCCATCATTTGAATGACGATTGATTCGCGCTTGCGTTATCAGAGATATATTAGTATTCGCTCTATCATTCGAGTGACGAACGATTCATGCTTGCGTCGTCATTTGAGTGATGATTGGTTCACGAGTTTGTCGTCACACTTAGGTATCCATGATCTATAAAAAATATGACGACGAATTTGTGTTCACATTGTCACACTTAGATACCTCATGATCTATAAAAAATATAACGATAATTTTATATTCACGTCATCACACTTGGTCGCTTTGATAGGTGATGGCTTGTATACTCAGTTATGCTATTAAAATGTAATCATTCATGTTCACTACCCTAGAATGCATTTAAAATGGATCTAATCGCATCTAAGAAAAAAATCTGTCCAGGTTTCGTTTAGATAAAAATTTGTTAATTTGAATGGATAATGTTATGAAAGAAAAAGGTTAGATTTTGTTTTAACCTGTTTTTCTATACTTGTTCTATTTTCGTCTAAGATGTCTAGATAAAAAATGGAATTCTAGGAAAAATATCAAACTCTTTCCTATGGTATATATTATATATATATATATCTTTAGTACATATATGACATATACTATATACATATCTTTGGTACATATACGATATATATATA